TAAAGTGTTGCGACAGGTTGAAACAATTAGATGGTATGATATAGTATGTGGACCTTATTATAATCAATCAATGTATAAATAGGCTGAAGTACCACTTGTCTGTTTTGTTGGTTGATATCAACAGGTAGATGATGTAGGAGTGGAGTTATTGATGCTCAAGATGAAGACAATCTCTGAGCAGCACGAAGAATCAACACAGGAGGAGAGGTTGATGTGTTTTCAGAAAGAGCAAAATCAAAGCGCTGAACTTATCAGTGGTTTTGACAACATGTCTTTACCCAAATCAGATGTCCAAAGATACACCAGTGATCCAGACTTTAGCTACCAGGACTTTGCACGACATAGAGAAGCATCTGAAATAACCACCTTCCGAATCCAGGTATGTTTTCTTGTAATGCTGTGTAGTGAATCGAACATGTTAGTTTTTGAGTAGGCCTGGAGTTGTATCTGACACCTTCGCCATCTGAATCCTCAGTGGGTCAGCAGTAAGTTCACCGACTTGCAACACTAAACTCCAGGTGTCGATTCCCCGCAGTGAAGAGTGTGGTTAGCACCAAACTCCGGGTGTCGATTCCCTGCGGTGAAGAGTGTGGTTAGCACCAAACTCCGGGTGTCGATTCCCTGCGGTGAAGAGTGTGGTTAGCACTAAACTCCGGGTGTCGATTCCCCGCGGTGAAGAGTGTGGTTAGCACCAAACTCCGGGGTGTCGATTCCCGCGGTGAAGAGTGTGGTTAGCACCAAACTCCGGGTGTCGATTCCCGCGGTGAAGAGTGTGGTTAGCACCAAACTCCGGGTGTCGATTCCCCGCGGTGAAGAGTGTGGTTAGCCTGTCATGTAGTTTTGCACTAGAAAAAATAACATATAAAATATAAATATGTTTATTGTAATGGTATAATAAAACTTGTTAGTTTTTAAAATGGTAAATTGAATGTTTAACAGTCTTGGTTACAGAAGTCAATAAGCAGATGAAACAAATCATTGGAGATATTATTAATTTTCCTTATGCGTGCGTGTGTGTGTATATTTTTTGGAACGGTTCTTGTATGTATTTTTATTGTAGGATTATTCCTGGGAAGATCATGGTTTCTCTCTACTTAACCGTCTCTACAACGATGCTGGTACATTCTTGGATGAGAAGTTCAAGATTGCTTATGACATGACATACCACAGGTATGTAATTTTTATTTTGAACATTTGTGATAAATAAACCTTTATCATTTCACATTAAGACATTTGATAGCTTGTTAAAAACTGGCTTGATATGTAGCAGTAGTTGATATACTGTGTGTATGTTATTCTGTAAACCAGAAATGGATTTAGTGAAGCAATCATTCCCATGTGTTTTAGTTTTGTGACATAAGTTGTTTGAATATAAAATAAGATTTTAACTTGTTTTTTTTACAGAATGGGATCCAAGAATAATGTGGACACATCCACTTTCCGCCGTGCTATATGGAACTACATTCAATGTTTATATGGTATTCGTCATGATGATTATAATTACAAAGAAGTTAACGAGCTTCTAGAGAAGAACCTGAAGACTAACATAAAAACCCTGTGCTGTTATCCTGAACGAACAACAAAAAGTGATTATGACAACGTGATGAGAGAATTCAGGCATTCAGAAAAGGTGATGACTGATGAGTAGTTAATTAGTTTTAAGGGCAAATGTTAGACTGAAAAATTGCATTGTTAAATAATAACTATTACACCACGTCATCCACAAATATTTCTTGTTACCATGCACAATATTTCTAGTTTCAAGTATTTCCTATAGTTTCTTTTAGGAAAACATTAAATAGTTTTTGCTACAAGTTTCTTAATTTCTTGTTTTTTAATAACTTCATATTATTCTCTATTACTTAATAATCCAACACAGTAATACCTTTGTCTCTGGAAAACAAAAATCTTAGCAAGAAGTTTTTGTTTTAAAAAGTCTGACCTTCTGTTAATGTTTTCTTTTCTTTTTATAATTTTCTGAGATATATTTGTTTTCTTTGCAGGTTCATGTTAATATCATGATGCTAGAAGCTCGGATGCAGGCCGAACTACTATATGCACTACGTGCCATCATGCGTTACATGACATGATAGATGAGGTGCGAGCTGCATAGTAGGTGCCATCAGAAAATGAACACATTTCTTGATGCTCACTCAATCGACACGTTAAGCCCATTAAACTATAACTACAACTTTAACCTACCATTGTTGTAGGCTAACTAATCTAAGCAGTTACTTTGCTAAAGTTGTGTTTATTAGATAAGGTCACCTAAATCTCTAAATAGGCCTACTACCAGATGCATATCTTAACATAGGGTAGTTAATTAACAGGTTAAAAACGAGTGATGGGTACTGTGTTCTGTACACTTTTCCTCATGGTAAGCCAAAATAATTTTTGTAAGATGCGAAGTGCAAGTTCAAACGAAAATGTCCTTGTTGTTTTAAAATTATATATATAAAAGAAATACAAACCTTCGTGTGTGTGTGTGTTAGAAGTTAATCGGTCATGAAGCAGGGATTGAGTTCGTTAGACTTTCTAAACAAGAGGACACTACTAGTCCTAGTCGGCCAGTTTTTTTTTTTTTTGTTTGTTTCACACTGTGGTTATAATTAAAACAAAGGTGATATTTTATAACTTTTTAACTAGTATTGATTATGGTTTGCCAAAAAGTCCCTTTGAGAAACTTTAAAACACATCTAATAAAAGGGGAAAGTTTAAGTAATCCATTTTTATTTTCAATTTAAATATTTTATCATTAAGTAATGTAGAATCTGAATAAAACAAGTTTTGGTAACAATTAATGTTGTGTATCCATAACTAGTGAGTTCAAGCGCGTAAGGGGTAAGATGAGCTGTATTTTGAGTACATGGTAGTTTGTGAAAACGTTTTTTTTTGCATTTTTTTTAGCAATAAATCTCTGAGCATTAGGGTAGTTTGTGTGCTGAATTAGTTACAAATGGTCTGTGTGTTTTTATTTTAAACTTATTAAACTACAAAGGAATGAAAAAACTTGAGTGCTATAAATAGTTTTTAAACTCCTTTTCATTATTTTTTTTTTCTAAGTACCAATGATCAAATATTCGTTTAAAGATTTTTGTAATATTCGTCCCGTTGTATTGTAGGGTTTAATAACTTTCATTGTTCGTTTCTTTTAGCGAATATATGTTTGTGTAAAATCGAAAATAAAGGTTTTTGAAAACATTTGGTTCGTTCAAATTGATGTACACTCTTTACAAGTGTGTAAAGTGTTTAAATCTCGTCGTCGTGAAAACATTTGAACCAACACGATTTCACTGATACACAAAACACATCTTAGGAAAACTGAAAATAACCAGGGGGGAGAGAGAGAGAACGACTCCCAATGGTTTATACACAATTCTAAGAATATTTTAGAAGAAAATGTATTAGAAGGATAACCTGCGTTAGAGATTATGCAACACTTGTATCAAAGAAAGGTATCGGTCTTAGTTTTAAAACATTAAGCCTAATTGTATATTTGGAAAAAAAATGGTAAGGTTTATGGGGAGGTCCACCAGGGGAGCTTAAACAAAAAATGTGAGGTTAGTGTTTTTTTTTTTAAAAGTTAACTTGAAATACTCTAAAACTAAACCTTTTTTTTAATTATTCTTTAAAAACCTATGGAATGTAATAGACAATTTAATAAATTTTGTTTTACAAGAAACTAATTTGAGAACATGCCAGATTAATAAAGGTAGAAATTATAGTATTTCTTTCAATTTAACCACATTTTCATCGAGTATTTTTACGTACTTGTAGAGTACGTTGGTACTCTATTCTAAAAGAATCTTTGGTTGAAATTTCTATAAGAAGTAAGACAAAGTACTAGCTAAAAGAAGGCAGACGCAGGTTTTAATTTTACACGTTTTAGTATAAAACGGCAGTTACTTAGTCGTGCCCACTGGTGGGACAGCGGTAAGTCTACTCTAAACAATACTTAGCTGTACGATGTTCACGAATTTAAATAATGTATCTTGTTTTTATTAAATATAAAGTAAAAATTGTTAGTCTTTAAATAGGTATTGTCACATATTTAATCGATAACTGTATCTGCGGCATGATTGTTTACTCGTATAATTTGTAACATAACACTGGGATAACCTTTTCATTGTAGGCTAGTATCTGTATTGGACAAAAGTGTAATTTATTTCTCCTTTAAAGTGGATGTTGTAATAAATAAGCTATTATAAATTAATCATAAAGAGCCGAGAGGATTTGTTACCAATTAACATGCAATGAGATAAAAACCGATAGAACATTTGTATCGAGTTGAACAAAAAAAAAACTGATAATTTAGACAAAACCAAAGATTTATATAATGAAATTGGTACTTTTTTGGGGGGGGAAAGCATTATCATAATGACGTGTAATAAAAAGATGAAAATATACGTTTTTCCTTTAATTATTACCAGGTTAAAAAATTCATTTGTTTAAAATCGAGTACGTTTTAATGGATATCAATGAAATAATAATATTAATGCATATTCTTCAGTAATAAAACAAGTATTGATGCCGTTTCTAAAATTTGCCCCTTTTTATTTTAACTTAAACGCGGGAATAAAGTATCGAATATATAACGTTTCATTTCTCACGCAATAAAACAGTACAATAATGAATATCGCATTTTCCATAACTGTATTGTAAATTTTTAATCAATCGATCAAAGTTACACATAGGTTGTCTTGTACCGTAGCCACCTAGGATATGGAAACCTAGTTTTTAGTGTTACGAGCTTTCAAATGTACTGCTAAACTAGTAGGGGTCCTTTATTAATTAAAACGTGGTGCCAGTGTGGATAAATGCTGGTCATTTCAATTTTTTTTTTAATTATTGATACGTTTTGTATAAAATTAATTTCCATATTTTGCAAAGATATAGTTTTATTAATTAGAACTGTGTAATTTTTCTCTCGAAAAATGTAGGCGTCATAAGACGGATTCTTATAAAAACGAAATTTAAAAACTATAATTTCTAAGGGTACAGCTGATTTATTTCTTTTATTATTATTTAGTTGCAAAACTTATACGTGTTTTTAAAGGAATGGACAAAGTGGCATTTTTTTCTTCATCTCGGAAGTGTTTGGTCACATTATTAATTGATAAATAGATTTTTGTCTAGAAGGTCGTCTAATGAGTACGTGTTCCACAGATTAAATTAATAAAACGGGAATTTCAAATAACGCTCCTAGATGGCGCCAAAGAGCCGTTTCCTTGTTTGTTTTTTTAGAAGGATTCTCGCCTAAAGTAAAATTATAACGGATATAATGACCACTTCTTACGACCTTGACTAACTGAGTTACGTTTTTAGAACAAAAACATACTTGTAAAATTATTCTAAAAGTATTGGTCACCGTTACACAATATTTTCAGGAGTTAGAGACATTTCTTTTTTGTGGTTAAGTACTAAATGATTCTCTGATACAATTACTTATGCCTTATTACACAAACTTCCAAGTCTTTATTTAGTGTCATCAGCTTTGTAGGAACAGTATTTATATTATATATTCTCAATCATAAGTTGTTAGTTATATTTCTTCATTATTTGGGCTAGAGAAATAAATAAAATCTATTAAATTTGGTGTCCTCACAAGTATAAGTTTCTTGGCCTTTCGCACAAAGTTTTGGAGAAACCTTAAGTATATAATATGCAAGCCCGTAGTTAGGGAGGTGAGAATGACCCCCCCCCCCTCCTCTCCAGCCCACGTTCCACTCCCCTACTATTTTTTTCTTTCTTTCATAATAAAGGAACCACTTTAGACCAAAAAGACCCACTCCCTTCCAGACCTGGCTATTATATATTATTAGTAAGAAGGCAGAAATTCTTTAAAATATTATTCAACACTTGAAAATAATATTTTACGAATCCTACAATGGCTAAAATAATTGTTATTACTGTAATTAAGACAAAATAGAAATTTGTCACTTGCTTCTCATGAGGCTGAGGTGTAGGAAGCAAATTAAAAGTGTGTGAGGGGTGTATTTGACCAAGCGAAACGAACGATGGGGTCCTGGAAGCTCTTAGATTTTGGATTAAATATTATGAATTCTCCTGCTTTTCCCTAGAGTAATTTCCCTAATTGTGATGCATTTGGATTGGACCAGATTGAAAAGTTCCCCACTGCTTTCTGTGCCATCGTTTCATAGCCAAATAATGGTTGGAGACAGCGTGAATAGGTAATGAAGAAAAATTTTAATACAAGTTTAACATAACAGCAAATGTACAACGTACATAGTATATTACCTACCTATTCGAGCCGTCTCCAAGCATTATTAGTCTCAAAGTGGGTTCCTCGTCAACCAATTCATAGCCAAATGTTTATCAAAGTCAAAAATCCGTTAAAACAACTGTCAGAAAAAGACACGAGTGGATAAAGTGTGGTATTTAGGTACACTGGTGTCCAACAGAAAAGCTTCAAGTACGAACAATCTAGAAATTTACGACAGAGAATAATTCCGATCTGGGACAGCAAAGCGAAAACGAACGCAGGTGAACAAATGAAAAATATTTTAATTCACAACCAATGTAAATGTTATTTACCAGACTGGCTGGTTTCTTAATCATCTGTGTTCAAAAATATTTCATGTGGCTGGAGGAGCTTCTATAACTGCTTTTACAAGACAAAGACAGAAAAAAAAATCATCTTTCAAGTCAGACAATGTGTCCATAATCCCAAAATGTATATCTCACAGACTTTTCCAAAAAAACATTGAGGGGGAGAACACCTCAAACTCATACAAATTTGCATAAGTACTGATGGATTATTCTCGAGGGAATGGACACTGACGCAGGGCCAATGGGATACAAACTTTTAGCCGTTGTCTTGTGTAACCGTTACATAATGAGAAGCTTGCCAGGTTAGATCCAGTTGTTTTGGCTTCAAAATCCCTTAATTTTTATGATAGCGTGAAGCTCATTGGTTCTCAAATTTATATATTAACTCACTTTTTCTTTTTAGCCGCGGCATAACGGCTCATAGAATAGCTCTGATTTTAATTTTTTTTTCAAGTACAAACGTTTAGCTCATAGCTCCATCTCTTAACCGATTTGAGACCTATTACAGCCACGGCTATTGACGATTCCCTCTTGTTTTGTGTTTGAAACCAACAGTTTCACTAAATATCTTCTTAAAATGTTTTTTATCAAAGAGAAACCAAAACACATTTCTAGCGGTTTCGAGGAGCACATTTATTTATTTATTTTATTTTAATTAAAGAGAAAAAAAAATCAATTGAAAATGAGTAACAGATCTTGTTATGTAAAGTATAACACAAGTGTATACAAGTTTGATTATTTAGTTTAATTTCCACGCTAGGTGGCGCTATATTACAGGGAGAGCCAGTCAAATTTTCTTTTGATCTTTATTGGAGTTTCCATTAATTCTCTACAGTTCCATATTAAACACCCAACTCATGTTATGAAAGTAACCAATTTTAAACACGATTTCTATTGCTAAGTTGTGTGATTTATGCTTTAAAAAAGAAAAGTAAGGCTTAACAGTTCTAGAATTAAAACTATTTAAAACCGTAATCACTTTTTTGCTAATTTTAGGCCTGTACATGATTGATCCGAGTGCAATATATACAAGTAAAGAAAAAACATTTTAAAAAAAGAAGTAGATGTATGGATGACATTTTGCATCATCCCT